GCGGCGGAGATGTTGGAAAACATCGACGTGGTAACCAAGGTAGCCGAAAGATCCTCCAATCTAAAAGGCACCTTCGTTAAGGAGCTAAAGGCCAGCTCCAACAAGCTGAGGGCTGCTGCCGTCGTGGTGGGCAAGAAGACGGCCGACTCCACCAACGCGGCCCTAGAGGAAGAGACGGTGAGGCTGAGAGGAAGAGTGAGGACCCTCGAGGAGCAGGTGGGGAGACTCACGGCTCTCCTTCACAAGGAGAGGGAGGAGAGAGTAAAGAGGGAAGCGGCGAGGGGACCAGAGGAAACAATGGAAGTGGAGATGCCAGAAGAGCACCCCGCCCAAGCCCGAACCCAAAGCCCGGTGAAACTCGCCAAGAATGAAAGGTCAATGCGATCAAAGGCCCAAACTGATAGGCAACGGGCAGAGAAGGCGGGGAAATCGGAGTCGGCCCAAGCGAGCGAGAACCCGGTATATCGACCGACAATCAGGGGAGAGAGGAGATTGATCGAGGAACCTCCATTGGATGAGGCCATGGAGGGAGTTAAAAGGATCATGGAGGGGTTATCCATGAAGGAGATTGTCAATGGGAACCCACAAGAGGTAAGAGGCAAACTGGAAAATTTAGTTATAAGATGCCAGGGAGCGCTATCTCGAATCCCGAGGGAGAATAAGTCGGGCAGGGGAAGCGACGGGAGAAGTCTGCCTTCCATCACAAAGGTGGAAGTGGTTAAAGACAGAGTGAGGGTGAGGGCAAGGGAGACGGCGGCGAAGATCATTCGTGATTCGAAGACGCCCAAGGAACAGGCCCACAATCCCCCGAGCACCTCATGGGTGGAGGTGGTGAGGAAGGGGAAAGGTAAGAAGAAGCCGGCGACCGACAACAAGCCACCAGCGACGAGGCCCGCGAAACCTGAAGCTGCGGCTTTGGAGAAAGGCAGGAAGAAGGCCACATACGCGGAAGCGGCTAAGATGAGGTCATCTGACAAAGGCGGAAAGGCGAACCAGCCAACTACAATGGGGAGCGGGAAAGGAGAAAAGCAACCCCAACGGACGGACACAAAAGCAGTTAAGCCAAGTGCAGTCCAGGGGGTTAAGACGCAGGTGCCGGCCCCGAAGAAAAGAAGGACACCAAGATCGGAGGCAGTCTCGGTTTCGTTCCCTGTGGGCGAAGGCGCGCAGGGGATGAGGGACATCCGGTCGAAAGTGGACCTGGAGGCCCTAGGGATAGGGCCCCTCAAACAGAGGAGGGCGCTTACAGGGGCCCTGATCTTCGAGATCTCGGGGCCGGAAAGCGCGACGAAGGCCGACACCCTCGCGAACAAGATGCGCGAGGCGGTGGCAGGAAAGGAGGGAGTAAGGATCTCCCGCCCAATGAAAATGGCGGAGATCCGCGTTAAGGATATAGACGAGTCCATAACGCAAGAGGAAATTACCCAGGCCATAGCTCGAATGGGGGGCTGCGACCAGGGCGATATCAAGGTGGGCCAACCCAGGAGGGCACCGAACGGTCTAGCGACAGTCTGGGCCCAGTGTCCGGTTGCAGCGGCGACCAAGGCTGCATCAGAGAGGCGCATCAGGGTCGGGTGGGCATCACTACGCGTGGAGATGCTCGATGCCCGCCCCCTGGTGTGCTTCCGATGCTTGGAGAGGGGGCACGTCCGGGAACAATGCCGCAATCCCGTGGACCGAAGTGCCCTGTGCTACAGGTGCGGCAAGGAAGGCCACAAAGCGCAGACTTGCGGTGAGAGCCTGAATTGCCCGGTATGTAGCGCGAGGGGTCTCCCAGCAGGCCACAAGGCGGGAGGAGCGGCCTGCCCCCCAGTGTCAAGAAAGGCTGCAAAGAAGGCCAGAGGAACAGGGGGGCAAAAACCCAAGGAGGCGAGCAAAAAGGCCAGGGGGAAAGTCGACGAAACGCAAGTGATGGAGACGGAACCACTGGCTGAAGTGCAGGGAACTGAATCGTCGGTAAATAGAGGTGGGGAAGGCCAGGAGGAGGCCGGTACGGCATTGCCTTCACTACGTTAAAGGCAATGCAGGCGAACCTCAACCACGCCTGCCAGGCCCAGGACCTTTTCCTCCATAGCCTGGCAGAGCGTGGTTGTGGGCTCGGAATTGTGGCCGAGCCGTACCGGGTCCCCAAGAACCCCTGCTGGGCGGGGAGCACGGACGGCTCGGCGGCAATCGTCTGGAGGAGAACGGGGGAGCGTTCCCCCCCCTTCTCTAAGCTGAAAGCTGGAGAAGGATGGGTGGCGGTCGAATGGGGGCCCCTGACCGTAATAGGGGTCTACATAAGACCAAGCCTATCTAGGGCGGAGGTGGAGGACCGACTCCAGGAGTTGGAGGACGTGGTCCGGGAGTACCTCCCCGGGCCAGTATTGGTCGCCGGGGACTTCAATGCCAAGTCGGCGCTTTGGGGTTCCCGGCGGCCGGACGCCAAAGGGGCGGAAGTGGAGGCCTGGGCAGCACGCCTGGGCCTCCACCTGGAGAACGTAGGGGCCGTTAGCACCTGTGTAA